GTCAAAAGGATTGCAAAATAACATGCAATATCAGTTTTGTACCATTATAGAAATATTAGTATCGGATATTGGGCCCTAATTGTTTCACTACAAAATAAATGTAAATTAGGGATGAACGATATTAGATTTTTGGTTGATAAATGATATACCGATATCGTAAAACTCATTTAGCCGATGACTGATCCCAATACCGATATTTTTTCCTGTACCTACTTCCTGAAACTTTCTCTAGTGTGAATTAAAATGCTTCATTATCTTTGTGGATTTAGCCTGCTGCCAAATAAAAATGTTTAAAAATTGAGGCTGAAAATTATGCAACACCTTTAACTTGCATTATGTTTAATGTCAAATGTGTTCGTGGCATCTTCTCTCTCTAAGACAATGACAACACTCAAACAGTGCAAGTCTGACATTGTGCTGTGCTGCAGACATTATTGTCATTAGTTAGTCATGTATTGATGAGTTATTTTGACGCAATGGCCGACATCGATATCAAAATGTTAAGCTATCGTGCATCCTTAACTAAAACATTTCATTTTCCTTCCACTTCACACTTACAGATGACTTTTTGATCGTGTATCTTAAATAACATAATAAAGTGGAGCTTGTGGTTGTAACTTTTAACGGGTGTGAATACTTTGGAGTCCCGTTATGGGAGTGTCTGCCGTAATCCACCTCAATCGCCTCCATCCCTCCTGATCCTCTTCCCATTCTATTTTTTTTTTCTCACTTTCAGCTGGCTTTCTTGTTTCCCTTTTCCGCCGAGGAATGAAAAGAAAATATAGGTCAGCTTTTATGGGAGCAATTTGACACATGACACAAGCCATGCGCATCACTTGCTCAAGTCCTGCTTTCGTCTGCTCGCTTTTATTTGTCTATAATAGAAGCGCCACAGTTATTCACACAGTTTTATTACAGCTCTATAAGTAGCTGGCGGAGGCTTGCAGAGTCACAGGGGGGCGTGGGGACCCAAGTAATATTTTCAGAGCCCCCTGGTGTCTGTCTGAGCGAGGTTGATAGTTTGAGCCGCCTGGCTTAACTCCACAGGCCTGCCCAGCTGGCCCTGCTGCGTCTCCACACACCCAGCTCCGTTTCTTCTCATGCCAGGTGGGAGCTTGACTCTCTATCACAAAGCCACCAGGACACCGAGCTGAATACCTGTTAGCTAAAACCAATTAGGACTCGGAGTCAGCTGTTTATAACTAGCAGAGTTCCCGTCTGGATTTGATTGTCGGGTCAAGTCGACCAGCAGCTTCACAGAGAAATAGCCGGCGCTAAAAAGCCTCCGCAGGGGGTTTGTGGCTTTGTCTGGAGTGTCTGCGTTCTGTGTGTGTGTGTGTGTGTGTGTGTGTGTGTGTGTGTGTGTGTGGGGGTGTGTGTGTGTGTGTGTGTGTGTGTGTGCTTGCTGCTGCTGCTGCTGGATTTGAAGTCACGGTGGACGTCAGGCTGCTGTCTGTCCTAAAGCACACAGTCAGCTCAGGCATTACCATAGACTGACCTTTGCCGCTGCGCTCCCCGCCGCACCGTTTTCTGACATTCAGGGGCGCTGTGGGGCAGCAGGAGGGCATGGGGGGCAGTCTGCTACATGGGTGGGGTATGTTTTTTTTTTTTTTTTTTTAATGCCTGTAATGTGTTGATGGGTGTGTGTACTTGTTTGCAATATGAACTTAGAATTTTATCACGATATTTGGTGGTGGTTGCTGTGAGTTTAGGAGACTGATTTTTAAAAAACGGCAGATTTATTAATGTTTTATTTGTCACAACATTCATAGACCACAAAGACAAATGCTGTTCTTGAAAATATTCTGGGAGGGCATTTATTATGTTTGTTTATAATGATACGATTATTACGATAATGGTTCTGATTCATCATCGTCATGATAATTTCCAATTAATGATGGTTGAAAAACTCAAAAAACTGTATATTGTCAGGATTATTTTTGTTTTTTGCATTTTCTCAGCTGTTTTTTTTATTAAGTATCAATAAATAGTAAGGCATCTAAAAAATGTGACTAAAATCAGTACATTTGTTCAGTTTAATGATAAAATCCCACTTTATGTGGCTGTATTCACACATAAACAGGAATGGTTTTAAGAGCCATATATGTTTGTGCTGTGACACACAGACAGTTACAATACAATATTAAAATATTATAATTAAAGTTAAGTATTGCTCACCCCCAAGTCCCATTAGAAGTAGGTTTCCTCAGGATGCCACTTAATTAAAACAGGTGATTAATATCACTAAGCTGCACAAAGTTGCTGCATTTAACCATATTTTTTTATTTACTGTTTGTTGATGCTGTCGTGGATAGCGGAAATAGCAGAAAATAACATTTTTAACCATGCTGTTGGAGATATTTTGAGACATTAAATCAAATTTTCTTGATAAATGATAAACGATACGATAAACACGTTTTTTCCTCAGATTGTCCGTGGAGACGTTACCATTTTGTATTCTGTCCCCGCATCATTTCTGCTGTGTGACACTGTGTTTTTTTTTCCTGTTTGTTTTGTTTCTCTTTTTGCTTCTGGAAGCTTTGAAAAACAGACTCTGATCCGTCTGATACTCCGCTCTCCTCCACCCCTGCATCTGCCTGTTGTCAGAGAGATTGCTGTTATCTTTGTTCGAAATCTTGGCAACCTGATAAACGAGTGCTGGAAATCCTGCCTTGCTGACATCAAGGCTCCGTGTACCTAAAAACCCTTCCAAGGCCGGAGGGGGGAAAAAGAATAACATATCATGCCAATTAGAGTTAATGCACGGTGACACGCCGTATCGAGGGCAGGGATCGCCGCCATATGGCCGACCGGGCTGGGGCGGCGGAGGATCAGGGGAACGGAGAAGGTGACGCAGCACCTCCAAGGCTCTCAGATCCGACTGAAGACAGCAGCTCCGCCACCCACTGCTAACCACCCACCATTTTCTCCCTGCCTCCCCTTTGCCTCTGTGCCCCGGCTGCACCCCAAGGTGCAATGCCCTCAGGTATCTGTGTATTACTGGCAGCTTCATTAAGCCTTGTTTTTCTTCTCTCGCTGGGAGGATTTAAATGAGCTGTCATCCTGACCTTTTTGAGCTCCTGTTTCTTTTAGAGCCACCCGTCTTTCAGTCTTACCGTCTTTCTCTCCGGCTTTGTCACTCTTTCCTCCTCTTGTCTATCCTCCCTGCGGGTGGGGAAGACACTTTTAAGCCATCACCCTGCGGCAGGCAGGCATGCCAAGGTTGTTTTGTTGGTAATTGCCTCTCTCATAGAAGCTTTTTGTCTGCGCACACTTGCCGCCCTCCTCTGATGCCACACAGCTAACGGGGAGGGCACGGACTCTGTAGGCTTAATTTGCTCCCTGACTGTTCTCCCGGTGCTGATTAAGCAAGCATCTGTTGTGTTTGGAATACAGCAGCAAGCCAAGTGGAGCATGGCTAACTATTCACCTGCCTTCTCGTACCGAGTTATTGTACGACGTGGCTGACATTTATAGGCGCCACAGCTGTCCTCCTTTTATTTTCCTGACGTTGGCTTCACTGCTTTTATGTCCCTAAAACAAAGGTCTCTCTTAGTTCTGGAGATCCACCAGGTCTTTCAGAAACATTCGCTCAAGCAAATGCAAACGTTTTCCGATCCTAAAAATGAAACGCATAGAATCTGCCCTTTAGAGGATCCCATTGTCTCTGTGCTTTTTACCAGACACTTCCTTACTGTTAATGAGCTCATATTGACACATCACCCACCCATATGTTTAGGGTTGTTGTCCAGCCGGAACAGGAACCTTCGCCTTTGGCCTGGTCCACACATGGCTGGATATCTGGGAAAGCAAATTAATTTTTATGCTTATTGGCCTTTCATCCACATAAAATCTCTTTGTCACAACAGTAAAACAGTGGAGATATAAGAAAACTCCGTATTTGTGTTGGCGCGTACATAAGAAAACTGATTTTTACAGTCTGAAACAAATAATGCACCAATATATTTTATATGTTTTACCATAATTCCCAATCGACCTAGCTTTAGATTCTGATACACTGCTTAAAAGTGTCTGTCCACACAAATGAGCGTCATGTTCAATTCCTAACGGGAAGTTTGGTTGTTCCGAAGCAATCTGATTGGCTGACAGGTTTTAGCGTTGTGCTACACTGCCCCCTACTTATTTGGCATGTTTAAAACAACACAGAGGCAGATTTGTGTGGGTTTATGTGGGTGAAAACTTTCCTGTGTGTGCAGTATTTTTAAAACATGGAGGAAATATTTGTGTGAATGCAGACCTGCCGACTCGTGGATAAGTCTCAAGCTTTTTGCAACTTCTAGCAAGTTTTTTTTGCAGTGTTGCTCTGCATTAAGCTCCATCATCAGCTTCCTTTTTGAGCAAACGTGTCGCCACTTCATGATGCTGCCACCCACAATGTTTCATGAGGAGATGTTTTTGGGTTTATATGGAGGCTTGAAATTCTCATAAATGCTTGAATTTCAAAGTAGGTGTTTTTAAGGTTTCAGTCTAAATTTGGAAAGCTTTATTTTATTTGACAAAGTTTATCACAAAAGCGTAGAAACCTAATAAAATCCACTCAAGCCTGTTGAAAATGCGGAAACTTCGCGGGACAATCTACCTGAATGACTTATTTCTCCTGCCGCAGTCTGAGGCAGGTGCAAAGCTGAGGTGCAGGTAGCGAGGTCTGACTGGCTTACATGCAGGGCGAGTCGAAGGAGGAGGCGGGGAGACCGGGTCGATTTAAAACAGCCAGTCCCTCAGGCCCAGTCTGCCCGTTTCACTTCAGCTGTTTGATGTTTAATTGAAGTTGTTATTGGCTTCAAATGTCACCTTACCTGATGCTGCAGGTGTGAATCAGTTTCTAATTGAAAGCTAACTATGTCCTCCCCAGCCCCATGCCTCCAGGGAGCAGCTCCAGACTTCTATTAGTCCAGACCCAGGCTCTGTATCGCCATGCACCATGTGCTGCCTCGCAGTTATGTCTGACCTCTCCCCCCTCTCTCTCTCTCTCCCTGCAGTGTGAGGAGAAGCGTGTGTCCCATGTTGCATTAGTGTCTGTGTGAAATGCTGGCCTGTCTGCCAGGGCCAGGTGACCTCCCCCTCCAGCTTCTCCCCCACACGCAGATGAACACTGGACTGCAGAAATGTAAGTACTGATCTCAGGACACACACAAAATCACAATCACCAGGCAAGCAGATAAAATTCCACATCTACAGCTCTTTTTTTTTTCCCCCACTCATGGGGGAATATTTTTGTCCTCCTCAAGTGCAAATCTGTCTTCAAGGGAAATTAGGATGAACTGCGCCATTAATTTGCTGATGAACTAGCTCCCCGCCCCTCTCCCTCGTCCCCCGTGAAGACGTGTCTGTCACAACAGCGCGGCCCCGCGTGCTTCACCAGAACGCAGCCGTCGCGGCGGAGTGTTAAACACAGCCATCTCGCCTAATTTTCACCATCAGGAAGAGTCGGTTACTGTCAGACTCGCAGACAGATTGCGGCTGAGTGGTTTTGCCCCGCTGATCTTGTAATGCGAATGAATTTAAGATGCAATCTGCTGCCCTGGTTTAACAGCAGACTTGTCAGTGCCTGCCAGCTGAATTAAACGTGTTTGAGTTTTACTATGCGACTGCTGACAAACTAGAGACTTTTGAGCATTACTAGCCAGCAGTGGAGAAAAATGGAAATGGAGAAGTTGAGGTCAGTAAGAGCAGAGGCTGACTCTTGGGGAGCGGTGAATGCATAATCAAAACAAATGTGAAAGTTTCATTTTGAACTGCTTGCAAAAAAATACGGCTTTTGTTTAATTTCTATATTACGACAGAGCATTAGGGCCATGCTTAGGAAATATTCAATTACAAGAATAGAATTGTACGAGAATAAAGTCACGATAATATGAGGACACAGTCATAACATCGCTGTATTCTTGTGATATTTCAACTTTATTCTCGTATTATTACTTTATTCTTGTGCAACTTTGTTTGATATGTTATGACTTTATTCTCATTACTTTGACTTTATTCTTCAATTTTATTTTTGTGATATTATAACTAATCTTGTAATACTGTGACATTTTTCTTCACATATCAATTTTTTATTTTTTTAGCTTAATTTTGCATGACTTTATTCTTGTAGTATTGTGACTTTACTCTCTTTTATTTATTTTTTCATACTATGGCCTTATACGCCGTCATTATACACGTATATTTAATCAAAAAAACGTCTGGTCAGATCACAATAAAACCGGACTTTGATGACCATCCTTTTTGTTTTCCAGCTTCTCCTTTTCTTCCTGTCTGTTTCTCGGGGTGGAAGCTCAGTCCCAGCCTGACCCATTTCTATTCCATTCCAGCATTTCTTTTTTTTTTTTTCCTGAAATGCTCCTGCTCATCAAGACTGTAATTTCAGAATCACAGTAATCAGCCAACCCCCAGGAGATCAGCGAGCACGAGGGAGTCTGCTAAGTGCCGGCGTCTGTTGCCTCTCTCAGGCAGCCCTGTGACACGGCGCAGCCATCAGCCCAGACTGTTTCTCTGCTCTTTCCTCATTTCTGACACACCAAGACACATCTGAGCACAACTGGAGTTCATTTTGTTTTTTCTTGCCCAACACTATAATGCATTTACGTGATGGAGTGAGAGACGCGAGTAGCGCGGCGATTCCAAGAAGTGTAATTTCGCTCCATTTTTCCGTCCCTTTTACTTTTATAATGGTCTCTCCTTTTCATCTGTTCTTCAAACAGTCGCTGCTACATGAAAAGACATGGATCCTGTTTCGTTCGCTCTCAATTGTTTTATCAAAGAGCCAAAGAAAAATTCAGTTCACTCAGAGCTATTGTGCAGTGTCGGACCCGGCACCTGTAGCTTCGGTGTTAGCATCTTCATTCAGTCCACACAACTCAGTCTCTCCTTGGTACAGATGTTTCACACCTCTGCAATGTAACCATTGCAAACAATTACAGGGATAAAGTTTTTAATACCACTGGCTTTGACCCAACGCTAACCTTTTGGCCAATGCTAACTCTGGATTACATAAAGCATGCTTCATACTAAAAGCAGCTCAAAGTGCTGCACAGATCAATAAAGACAAACAATAATCCACCCCTACATGGGAAAACGCACAACTGCATGGAAAATGCACAGACCAAGCAGAAATGATTCAGTTCAGGAAATAAGTCAGGTCTTGAGCTGCTCTTAAAGACGGCAACATTTTCTGCAGGTTCTCTGGCAGACCGTTCCACAAACGCGGTCCATAATACTGTAAAGGAGCCTCACCATAAGTGTGTGTTCTGACTCTGGGAACTGTTAATAGTCCGGTGCCAGAGAACCTCAGGGTTCTCAAGGGCTCATACGGTAATATCAGCTCTGCAAGATAAGCTGGTGCAAGACCATTAAGACATTTAAAAACCAGTAAAAGAATCTTAAAATCAATATACTGAGAGCCAATGGAATGATTTTAAAACTGGTGTGATGTGAGCCTGCCTTCTGGTCTTGGTTAGCACTTGAGCAGCAGAGTTTTATAACAGCTGAAGGCTGTGCAGGTTTTGCTGTTGTTGTTTTTTGGGCATTGCAATAGTCCACACAGCTGGAAATAAAAGCATCAGAGTCTCAGTATTAAGAGGGAGAGAATAGGCCGAACTTTGGCTTTTTTGGTTGTTTTTTTTTTCAGATAAAATGTTTAATATGCGGAATAAAAGCGAGGGCAGAGTCAAGAAGAAGGTTTGACAAATGCAGTTTGTAATTTTTGAACAATAATGTCCTTCTGATCTTCTGGTCCAATGATTAAAACTTCTCTTTTGTCCTGGTTGAGCAGGAGAAAGTTCTGTGCCGCCCAGGTCTTTAATGCAATTAAAAGTGCAGTGATTGGCTGGGGGTCATCCTGAGAAAATGAGATGTATGACTGGGAGATTCATGTTCCAGTAAGACTTACTGGAACTGATTAGATGAAAGCATTCATTGTGAGATTTAAATCCACATTTAAATCTAATCAATTATCTCTGGCAAGAGGCGTTTCTAGATGCTCTCCATCCAATCTGAGTGATCCTGACCTATTGCCAAGGAGAATGGACAAATGTTTATGTCCAAAGGTGGTAGAGAGAAGCTAGCAGAGCTACTCCTACTGAAAGGAAGCTGTGGCATCACCTGTGTTTTTGCTGGACTTGATGCAAATGGCGATTCTTCCTGGTCCTGTCAAAAATTCTAATTTCGCTGGACGATAAATCGTCCCAGAAGTCATTGTGATAAACGATAATATTGTCGTTTTCAGTTAATATAACGATAAAGCCATAATAACGCAACTGTGTCCCTTCAAAGATTAATAAACATCAACTCTTAATGAACATTTAACACTGGAACTGGCAGACATTTTAAATATCTAAAATAAACACCCAAGAAAAGAAATAAAATGGATACTGTAGCCTCTGTGAACAAAATTGCCCTTGAGATCAATGCACCGACTGAAGTCTCTTGTCATGCAATCTTTGGTACAAAGAGAGAGAAAAACAATAATTCAATCAAATGGAAATTATTGAGCTAATGCGATTAATTGGCTTATTGCATCAAGATTAGTTCTGCCAAATATTGACTTTGATTCTGAGTAAAAATGTTCACCACAATTCTCCAATGCTCAGATTTTTATTAAAAGAAGGCTTTTAAGACTCAAAGGTGAATTAAGTTTGATTGGAGATCGCCAGGTGCTGTTGACACTTGAAATATATAATTTGCTGACATTGTATATGAAAAAAGAAATTGCTGCGGCCTGAAGTTGAGGTACTTGTTTGAGAAATTCCTTCAGCGAGGACAAATAACTAGGTAGTAAGACGAGACATGGTTCTCTTACAGAAGGGAGTATCGATTCATAAACATGTAGGCATAAAAGATTGCAGGGTTTAACAACGTGCTCTTTGCTCAGACGTCTCATCTCTTACTTGCAGAGGAAAATGTGAACCAAAACTGCCAGCAGGTTTTAAAACAGACTGAATCAGCAGATGAATCTTGTTGTTGAACCCTTCACTCTGAGTGCTCTGCGTCGCTCGGCCGACCAGCCGGCCTCTTCTGCTGCCACTGAATCTGGGGATGCGAGTCGTTTAAAGTTACGAGCTTGCGGGTTGCTGTCAGAGACAAGGCCAGAGCAACTGCTCTATTTATCATCAGGGAGTGACTGTTAACAGATGATGGCTGTAAAGTGTAAAGGCTGTCGGAGGAGTATATCAAGTGAAGAAAACAGCCCATTTTCCTCTCAGGAAGACTCAAGAGCCTTGAAGTAGCTCTTGTTCCTCGGTTCTTACAGGAACGCAGCTGGGCTGTTTCTGAGCCACAAACTATTTTTTCCCTTCTTGTTTATTTATAAAGGTTATATTGCTCTATTGGTATCGGCTTCCTCGAAAGTGCAAAAAGTAGGCAGGAAGAGGGTTCATGTGAAATCCCCCCACCTCCTCTACCCACAAACAAAAAAATAGCACTTGTCTAATTTGACACAGAGCCTTCAGTTCTAATTTCCTGCTCATGTGCGAAAACTGCAATTTCCAGCAGCACGAGCCCCCGCTTCCCCGCTGCTTAAACCTTTCTCAATAAAAACAGTAGTTTGAATAAAAGAAACCCTAATTAGTGCCTGCTGACTGTGCACTTGTGTTCCAATCAGCTCTCTAGCAGTGGGATAATTAGCGCTTGGTCAGAGTGGGCCCTTTTTCCCCCACTCCCCCGTTTCCTCCTTGCAACGTACTTCGCTGGAGATCTGAGAGATAATATGCTCCATGCCACTAGCAGTCACCAACATGTTTCCCCCGTATTCCTCATTAACCTTCTCTTCATGCTCGTAGCTATTCAAATAATCCAGGTTTCAGGTTATTGCTAATAAGCTACATTTGTTTGGCAGAGGATACATCAACTGCCGACAGGGATTGTTGCCGATCTAACCAGCAAGAGATCCATTTGAGTCACAGTTGAAGGCTGACTTTGGGCAATGATTTGTCCACTCTGTTGCATATTTTAAGGCAGTCACTACTAGCATGATCCTTTCTCACTGTAATTCACTTCATCAGCCTTTTGTTTCCATCTTATTTGTACTGAATAGGGATTTAATGACAATTAACATCACACACAGTGCTTTCACAGGAATCCCACCTCAGGATTTTGGCAACATTTCAGGGGAAAACCAAGAATCATTACTTTGTGTTTCACACATAGAAAAGAGGTTTCATGAGATTATCACAAGAAATCATCAGTCTCTTTCTTTATTCCATGATGTAAACCAGTTAGTTGACGTTTTTGTATTTTGCACATGCTGTCATCCAAATCAAGGATATAACAATCCAGATTTTGTCAAACAAGACTGACGGTCGGGTTCTGCAAAAGGTGACGGAGGCGATGGCGTAGAAAAGAGTCCAAGCACATAGGGAAGAGCATTAGAGGCAGTCGGGAAGTACTGGGCAGGTGCGAGGCTAAGACAAGAGATGGTCTCTCAAGAGCTCAGGGCTTCAAGACTCTTACTTCAGACAGCGGTGCTCTGTAGGTCATTCCACCATCATGCAATAAAGCAGGAAATAGAATCTGGATCATCGTGAGCATGGTGTGGAACTTCAAATCCACGCCTTGAGGTTTGGTGTCCTGCAACGTTTTGAGATGTCCCAGGTCCAACACACCTGAATTAACTCGTCAGCGCAGTCAGGTTTTCTAGAGTCCTGCTAATCACCTCATTATTAGTCTCTGGTGTGTTGAAGCCGAGACGCATCCCATAGCTGCAGGATGCCGGACTTCAAGCCCTGAATTTGAAGAGCCTCTGTGTGGAAACTTCTAGCTGACAATCTCTTGACGATTGGAGTGACCAAGTATTCAAGTATTTCGTCATAACTTGAATTTAATTCAGACTGCTAAGGGTAGCCAGTGAAGCTCAACGAACACTTTTAGTCCAGCCACTATCTGTAAATCATTGGTCTCAAACTCCAGTCCTTAAGGGCCGACATCTTGCAATTTTTAGATATCTCTTTGTTTCAGCACATCCGTTTCCAATTAGCATTGCTCTGTGCACCAGTGAGGCAGTTTCACCATTTAATTAAAGTGTGTGGGACAAGGGATGCACCTAAAAGTTGCAACACTGTGGCCCTCAAGGAATGCAGTTTGAAACCACTGTAAACATGTGTGACTTATTGGGTTTGGTCCCGATTGATGTTATGTTTAACTATGCAGAGATGCAAGATTGAGCAACAAAGGCAACATGATCTTCATAGGTCAGCTGGTCAACGATCAGCCACACAAGTTTTTAGCAGCCTTTACTGGAGCAAAAGATGGGGATTCATTTTGGATTACGATTCTGTGGTGTATATTGAGTTTGGCTGTAAAGACGAGCAGTGTAGAAAGAGAGGTTTAGTTGGAGGTTAAGGGTTGTAATCCGTGTGAGAGAGACAGTCTGAGATTCTTAATCACACCTTGTGGTCCTCAGGTGGGAAAGACAAATAAAGCTGTGTATCATCAGCGTAGCAGTAGCATCAGAAGCCGTGTGATTGGATGATTTGACCCAATATTGTGATGGCTAAAAACAAATAAATCTTAATTATGAAATGCTCAAGATGTTTTGTGACTTGCGGCAGATCGTGGCGCTCTTTTCCTTCTCACTCCCATCCCTTTCTTCTGCAACACACGAGGCGGCGGGAGGTTTTCACACCATGTGGGCTTTTGTCAGAATCCCCAACTGTGGTTACATTTATTCTAGTAAAATCAGCCCTGTATTTATTCAGTCTGTTCCTGTCACATCGAGGCATCATTTCCAACAAGATCATTAATCATTCCTTGTGTTTGACAGGCGAAACCTATCCTCAGCATGTCTGTGTGCTTGTGTAGAAGTGTTCATTTCTCTCCGTTTGCTCAGCCTGGCATTTATTCAGTGACAGACAGACACTGGGGCTCAGCGATGGCGGGTGTCAGCCTCCAGTTCCTTGGCCCGGACCCCTGCATTCATGAGGGTGCCATCAGTGGGCTGAACACTTTGTTTCAGTGGAGCCTCCCCCTCCGTGTGCGGGTCTGTGTGCCGCCCCATACCAGCCCCCACACATCACTACCCATTGTTTCCTGCTCACAAATAAAGCAGGAATTAATCAGCCGATTGGCACAACTACTGGCTCTGCTTGGTCCGTGCCGCTCACTTCAGCCGCTTTAGCTCTTAGCCTCGTCCCACCAGATTGGCTCGACTGCTGAGACTCAGCCGAAGCCCTCAGTCACAGGAAACTGCAGATGTCCATCAGAATCTCACATACTTTACTTATCCCTTTTTCTGCACCAAAGTCAGGTGACTAATTAGCTGTGAAGACGTTGGTTTTGCCTGAGCTAATTGTACCTAAAATTAGAATATTACAGCAGATCAATAAAAATATGTATAATACAAAAATGTGGGTTTAATGAAAAGTATGCATAATCCCAGTTCAAAGATTGCTTTAAAAGGTAGTTTAAATTTGACAAATGACTCTCGTCAAAGATCATGTTGTAATTTATTTGTATGTGGGTCATCCTCCAGCCGGTCACTAACAAAATGAGTCAGTTTCCCAGCACATGCATCATGTCGTCCTCAGAGACACAGGAAGTCATTAATTAATAAACAGGACTTCCTAGAAAATGTGACCAACTTACAAAGTTTACGCGAGTTCAAAGTAAAAATAGAAGAAATGCTCCAGTCACCATTACTTTAAAAAAGTTACCAGTAATTGTACAACTATGGGACTGACCCTTGTGGAAAAATATCAAATCAAAGAATGTAATGTCCATCTATTTGACTCCGTCTAACGTAGCCAACAAATGGCCTTCTGTGTATGTTAAAATTGGATTGAGCATTGAAATCTGCTCAGATTTAAAACGACAACAAAAAGAAAGCTAACAGATTAAATGGATCATTTTGGCATATGAGCCAACTATTTTTGTGGCTGTTGTTGCCGTTTTTGAACAACCTCACACCCTCCCACATTCGCAAACAGGTAATCATGCTCACATTGTCGCTCTGGCATTGTTAAATTTAGTCACAGTGCTTAGCAGGTGCAGCAGAAGTGTGTGAGCCGAGTCCTAGGAGGTGTTCCTGCACATCAGAGACGCTGCCTGTGTGTCTGATTAGTTGTCTGCTGTCATGGAGGGGCTGCTCTCTGCATCTCTCGTTCACTCTGTGTGTTCTTTTTTTATTTCTCCCTGTAGCAGCCACAGGGGACCATTACTGCGTCTCTTCTTTGTTTGGTTTGTGATTCACCCACTACATGGCAGCCCACCCTCAGCACTTATTCCTGGCCTGAATGTGTCAATTAGACCCCGGTAATAGCTTTTGACCTAAAAGCCACCAGCAACTGTACTTTACTGGATTTCACTGGAATCCGAATACGTCAGCTTTGATATTTTTTGCTGAGAAGAGGAAAAACCTCGACTTCATCTACATCTGGTGATCATGCTAATGGGAGCTGCTGGTTTTGAGAATACCTTTACACACGATTGCTTTCGAAAGTCCAGTGAAAACAGTTGCCCTTGAATGTCTCTGTGTTTTAATTCAATTTCAGTACAAATATGTACACATTTTTAACCATTTCCAAATCGTTGAAACGGGGGAATCGGGAAGCTTGTGGAAGAACATGCTTCAGCCAGATGAGGCCAAATTTGAAATTTTCTAGTAGAAATCTTCCTCTGCACATTGACTTGTGCGATGGTTCTATCCACATGAAGAAACGTGGAACAACCATCGCACAACCAGGAATTACGGACAATTTGGCAGGGCTTCCTGTCATCCTTAAGTCTTAAATTGACAAAGAAAAGTTTAGCTTAAATATGCCAATTACTGCTCTTAAACGTTGTGGCAGGACTATTTAATCTTGTATATTTTCATGTTTTGGTTTTTGTTTTCTGATGGGACTTTACTGTTTGTCGCACGCAGACATCTTCATTGCATCCTATGAATACAGGTGGTTGAGGCTACCAGTAGCTAGCTGCTAATACACTCCTGCTAGCTAGCTTTTTTTTTTTTTTTTTTCATCCATCATGGATAAGTACAAATTTATTGCCATTTTTTTGCCACTAGCTCACTTTCTGTCTAGCTGAAAACAAAATATGTTCAAATGAGGGGTAATAACAGTAAAAGAACAAAACCTCTTGGGATGTTTAAGTGTTGGCTAGAAGAAACAGCTTTGTCTTTTTAACAAGTTGTAATCCGTCAGAGGAGCATTTTTATATCTCGTTATGAAAAAGTTTGTTTCTCCATAAGATTTAAAACGTGTCTCGTTTAAACGAGAAACTAACAAGAAACTTTAGTTTAACGAGTTTTGCATCTCTTTTACAACGTGGAAATTTCTCGTTAGGAGATTCTACACATAAATTTATTACCATAAGGCTTGGTACATTCAGGGCAAACAAAAACAAAAATGTTTAAGCTTTGCAATATGAAGCTTAAGGCTGTAGAGAAACATTTGCAGTGCCGAGAGCCACAAACGTATTTGCTATGCATTGTTGTAATGCATATTTATAGTTTTTTTTTTCTGTCTTAAATTTCATTCAAGGTGATATTAAAAATTCTAAATAAAGGCTTACATTGGATTAGCTGAAACCTACAGATACCCTGGTTCATGTGATGTATCATTTATTATGTGGTTATCTTATATCTGTGGTTATAAGATGACAAAATGCGAAACAGATAAAAAAATTTCACTTACATTGAATTGTCCGTTTCATTTTGCCTCCCTCGTTTTCTTTTGCCTTCCTAACTCCGTCTATCCTGGTTCTCCTCCTCCAGGGGACACCACACAAAGGATGAGATCCACTCCGTTTCCATCCCCTGCAGAATTGGACGCATATGCTAAGAAGGTTGCCAACAACCCCCTTACCATCAAGATCTTTCCCAATAGTGTCAAAGTCCCCCAGCGCAACCACGTGCGCCGCACGGTCAACGGGCTGGACACGTCAGGCCAGCGCTACAGCCCTTACCCCCCCTCTCAGGCCAGTGCCAAGACAGGCCTCCTCGCCATCGTTAAGGCACCCTCAGTCAAAGGCGTCCTGAAAGATTTCGACGGTAGCCGGGCTCGCTTGCACTCTGAAGTCAGTATGAACCCTCCCACTGGACCCTATCAAGTGGCTTCAACCAGCACTTTAAACCACCACCCACCTCTGGCCAGCCTGCCCCGGCCCCAGCACAGCTTGACCCACCAACAGCAGGACCTGCCTCAGACTTTACACCTACCCCTTTCTCAGCCGCAGGCTCACACTCAGAGTCTTAGTCACCCTCCCCCTTTGGCCCTGCACCCTCAGGGGCCAAGCAGACTCCAGACTTTGACCCAGCACCCAGCCCTCGGCCACCCACAGGGCCCTCCCGCAGTCATGCTTCAGCAACAGCTGCCGCCCGGCCCGCAGGCGAGCAGGAAGCTGCCGGATGGCGACGCGCCACCTAACGTTACCGTCTCTACCTCAACCATTCCACTCTCGATGGCCGCCGGGCTGCACCAAGCCCGGCAGGCCGACCTGAGCACCATCGTGCATCAGCTCAACCAATTCTGCCAAGCGCGGGGCCAGGGCCCGGGGCCCAGCTCCATGTGCGAAGGCCAGATCACCAACCCCAGTCCCATCAGTCGCAACCTGCTCATCAGCGCGTGCTCCAGGGTCTCCATGCACAGCAACCCAACCACGCCTGGCTTTCCCCCACCCAACTGCATCATTGGCCCCCAAGAAAAAGCCACTGCTCCGATGGGAGCACACCCCCCGCCCAGTTTGGCCGGTTTGAACCACTTGCCTTCTAATCACGCTGACCCACATCATCTGCATCACCACATTCACCCCCAACCGAATCCGCTCCAACACACTGCCCAGCAGCAGAAGATGCGTTCCTGGAACCCCCACCATCTGACCCACGTCCCCCATATTCAGAACAGCATGACACACCTCTGCAAACAGCCTTCTAGGGATCCATCCTTCCAGTTCAAAGGTATGGGCTACCCCGGGGAGGTGCTAGGGGGTCAGCCGTACTCACTGAAGCCTCCGCTGGACCGGCCCACCCCTTCCCCACCTGTCAACAGCAACATGCCCGGCCCCATGGCCCACTACACCAACGGCCACTACTTCCAGTCCCACATCTGGAGCAGCAGCATCCTTCCCACGCCCAACAGTGACAGCTCGGGGTCTCAGGACGTAGCCATGCCATTCCACAACGCCGGCCCAGGAGGGTGTACCACGCTGGACTGTGGGCCCCCTGGGGCTCCCCATTACAGGCTCGCAACAAGCTCCACCACGTCCTCGTCCGGCCAGACTAATCTGATGCAAACTGCAGATTACTTGGGTGGGGACTTCCAGACGCCCTACTTCCGTGATCAGAATCTCGGGTTGATGGGCAAGATGCACAGACCCCCTCTGAGCAGGGTAGGTCCAGAGGTCGGAGATGGCAGAACCGCTCTCATCCAGCACCCAGGGTACAGATAAGCTATGGCCTTGTCTCCACAACCATTATCAAGCCCCTTTGTTTAGTCTTAAGAAAGGAATCACATGCATAAAACTCAACAGATAACCTAAAGGACATCAAGTATTAAAGAGGGTAAAATAATATATTTAATGCAGAACAATAGTTTTTTTTCTTCTTCTCTCCTTTTTTTTTTTTTTTTTTTTTTTTGTTTTGTTTCATCTTGCAAGTGATCAATTCCTTGATTTTTAGTTTTGCTTTTTTCCTGGCTCCACAGGTAGCTCCTGAAGAGAGAGTGTGTGTGTGGGTGTGTGTGTGTGTGTGTGTACACACTCGTAATCTCTACTTCTTCCTCGACCATACATTGAATTTCTGTGCCTGGATTTGAACAGATTCCCCGTTATTTCTACTTCAGATCCGTGACTTTTCTTATGCATGTAAGAAAGAAGTAAAAGCTATTGCTCACAGAAAAATGGCGTCATCAACTGATATTTTCAGGAGGGGGAGAGGGGTTTGTTTGTTTGTTTTGTTTGTTTTTCTTTTTTTTGTGATTTTACAGGACAATATCAGGAATTTTTTGGCTGCGACTGGTTTAGATTTCACTTTGGTGGTGATGCTGAAATTAAGTACAATCACTTCCATGCAGAGAAAAGGAGACTGGGGGTACAATAATTAGTAGGATACATGTCAGCAGAGGGTTTTGTTCTGTTAATTTATTTGTATAATAGGACTATTACAGATAAACTCCTTTCAGTTGGTAAAAGAAGCATGTAATCAGGTTGTTTGTACATTATGAAGATGAAGCAGGAGCAAATATGACAAAAAAAAAAAGCAATGCTCTGTTCTGCTTATAATGCTGCAGTGAATTCAGGTATTTTAAAAAATAAACTTTGTTGCTAGAGCCTCATTTGGCAACAAGATTCAGAAATACTAAGGGCAGAAAATAATGAAAACCGTTTCCCTCCTCTACCTTAAAATGGCCAAAGTCAGGTTGATGAAGACACACCAGTATGAAATTGTGCCATCACATCTTTGTCTACTTCTTAGACGTCTTGATTTTTTGTTTTTGTTTTGTTTTTTCTTTTCGTTTTTGTAACAAGATGTATTACTTGAATGTCGAGGCTCTTCGTTTTGCAGGTATCGAAAGGGATCCGTCGGCTTTGCGGACACTGAAGTTTGTTTCAATGCGATGCAGAATCTAAAGCCAAGGCGGAGCTTTCTGACCCGCCGCTCGGGTTACAGACCGAGTCGCACGCGAGTTGCTACTGATGCTGATGTGAAGTCTGCTCTAATAGACCAAATTGATCACTTGCAAGATCGTTCGGAGGGTAAACGAAACCGGCGTTTCGGTTCGACGTGAAAAACAGCAAATGCATTGTTTATTTTCTTGTACACTGGCTTACCTACTAGACTACTGTAACTTTTAATGATTGTGTGTGAATGTTGCCGGCGCAGTTAAAAGTGAGCGTTGGCATGTGTGCGCGCGCGCGTGTGTATATTACTACAATGACACCTATGTTTTGTTCACCTAACTCCCTAACAGCCCTTAAAAAGCCTTAAGTGTTTGGTCCTTGGACTTTCCTTTGACAATGAGCATGGTTTTAATAAAAAAAAACCCAAATAAAGAGAAGGAGGAAAAGGACATACAGAAACAGCAATTTATTGTTTTGTTTTTTTGCCTTTTTATTTGAATGAAGATTTTTTTATGTTTTTTCCCCATCGAGAGCAATTCCTTAGACTCCTTAAGGTTGGAAAGCAAGAAAAAGGAGGAATATTTTGTAATTATATATTTTTAGCAATGTGTAGTTACTGAGCTGTAACTTTTTTTTTTTCAGTTTCAAAGCTTCAGTTTGCAGTTGTGACTATTTATGATACTTGATTTGCTTGTTATTTAAATTTTATTTTCCTCTTTGGTTTCTTGTACTATTGCTGTGAAATGGAAGAAGGTCCATGAGCCTTTCTTTTGTGTCATTCTGTACGACAGATAAGAGGCAAGAGCGTGAGAGTTGTGCTACTCTTTTTGTAATATTGTAATAATAAAATAAAGTTCTAATTTATGCTTTGAAATGTGTCAGATCTGTCATTTGAACAATTTAGAGGATTTTATTCGCATTTGGGATTGTTGTTCCTCTCCTGACCCAATCTGTCTATCAAACAACCCACTGTTTAATTTTTTTTTTTTTTTTAATTATTTTTTTTTACATCCCCATTAACTTCACTGTGATTGTTTAGCCTGCATTGTGTGTCTTGCCACTACCGTCTGTATTTTTTTCAGAAGTTTTGTGTGATTGCAGGGCCGGCCCAAGGCTCTATGGGGCCCTTAGCGGAATCTGGTTTTGGGGCCATTTAGTTCTGCTAACAATGGACTGGCTGCAATCAGCAGTCCGATCATTAGATCATTCACATACCTCTATAAACTTACCATCTCTGGCAGAGCTGTTTACATTACATACATGTATAATAAGATGCATTTATTTGCCAACTGATTTATCGACCAGTTAATTTCTGGGCACCAATTTCCTTCATTTTGGGGGATCGTGATCAGCCGATACTTACATGTGAAGCTGATCTTATCCCCTGATCTTATCTTCGTCGGCAAAGGTTTAAAAATCAGCCTCTGTCCGTTTCTGCTCTGCAGTGAGAGGTTTGACTGACAGACCAGCCCACCAGGTCTGAACGTTTGCACTAAACAATATTCACCCCACTGTTGCCAACTCGCTGACTTTTTGCTATATTTGGTGACATTTAAGAGAAAAAAAAAAAGTCAATCAAAATCAGCAGGTCAAGCTCTTTAAAGATCGGTAACCAGGGATCGGCCAGAAAAGTGCAATCGGTGCAGCCCTACTTAAGATGGACACATATTAATGACATTTTTTGATTCAATACATTTCTCTTGAGCGTTACTCCAATAGCTAAAAATGTAATTTATACCAGGTGAGTCTTTCTCCCCTGAGAATGTGGACCGGTTCTGGACTGATTCTGAACCTGAAATGATTTTAACAGAAGTTTCACATAACTTAGAAGTTGATGTAAAAATAATGTTTTTAGCCACAAAATGTTTATAATCAGCATCAAACATGACCCCTACTAGAGTATGGAGCAGCTCGTCGATGCAGTCTGATGTAAAAACACTTGGCTAGATGATGTCAAACATTGACAAGTTTTAATTATCAAATGTTATCAAACACGGCACTTTGAAGCCAAAAATACCTCAGAAATGTGCAAAGCCAACCATGAGAATCAACTCATTTAGCTTCTGCCTCTTCCAGATTGAGCCATTTGTCCTGGGTGGTGAGAATAATGTTCAGAGAAACCATGAGGAAGCTTTCAAATCAAAGAACATGGCTGCCACAGGATGGTGAGCCTCTGATTCACTGTTGGTAGTACTGGGACAAAAAGGGGAGAATGATGAAGGATTCAACTTCACCTCAAATCAAAAGAAGATTGAAATTTTGAGACAGCTGGAAATGCATACAAGTCTGGTTCTGGAATGGATCAGGTAGGTTAACACTAAGCTTCTGGAGTGACCCAGACCAAAATAATGGACTAATCTCAAAAGCTGGCTGCATGGCAAGAGACCAACCAATTTAATTGAACTCTAACCTCAAAAAGAATAGTGATCATATATGAAGCCAAATGTTCTTTTGACGTCTCCACAAAATGCGTGTTTGTCAAACTCATATCTGTGTATTTTATCCTATTTGGATTAAATATTAAAATCTAACTGGGCGAAAAACAAAATGCTCAAATGCATCTCTTAAAAATCATCACCTTTTATTTGCGTAACACAAGAGAACTTTGACTAGATACGCAGAGCCACAGAAGGGACTGAACAAAAAGGTCTGGAGCACGTATAATTTGTAACTGTGTCAGCCGCTGCCGAAGGTGGCGATTGCTGCTCCGATTGCTGCGCTTTCATGCCCTTTATCCAGGCCTGCCTCTGCCTCAGAGCTCGGGGAAGTCGAGTAGACGGAGCAAGCTGTGAAATCTGCAGGCCTGATCTGACTGCAGTAGATTTAGCTTGTCTGGCTGTGATGAAAATGGGGCCTGTATAAAGGGCACACAGCAGGCGAGGCAGGATCAGCACCTTGGTGATCAGTAGAACGCCATGATGGATTTTAAGCCACGCCAGAGGCGCTGGAAGGTCGGGGCGCCTTTGCACCGCTCACGTTCAAAATCTGGCTCATCGACGTACACATCACAGGACGTTTTAATTAAAAATACAGCATTTCATCCAGGATTAAGCAAAACTTGTTACAGCATGCCTAAAGGTGATTTTTTTTTTTTTAACAGAGCCGTTGACGTCAAACACAGAAAGACCCCCGATATTTTCCTTGCTGCCGTTGACATTACTTGAATATTTCTTTTCAAATTGTATTTACAGCGCAAACACGGCAAGTCAGGGAACCAGTTCCAGCTTTTCTCTGCTCAACAACAATCTGTTTGAGTTGGACAGCCTTTGCTGCTTGTGTCGTTCAGGCTGAGCAACTGTGTTTAACTCTTCAGATGTACAGGGGGCTCATCTCGGTGGACTCCGGCGTCCGCCTCCTCCTCCAAGTGCCCTCCAAGAAAATGCCTCTCCAGCTCCTCCCTGTGGAACAACGAGGAAATATTACAACATTTGAATTTATTCACAGTCTCTGAGACTCTTTTTTGTTTGTTTGTTTTTTTAAACAACCTCTGTTAAATCCTTTGGTAGGGCTGTCCAGATCAGGCTGCTGGCTCCGATCACGGCATCCTGGATCCTCACTGATCTTAACCAGGTTGGTGTTCCATTTGTTCCAGTTCATCTCCTCGACCCTGAGGACACGGGGCGACGCGTGCTTCCATTACCTCCAGCTGTGCAACACCTGAGGTAGCTTTTAGTAGCTGGAATCCCTGTGAACTGTGCATCTGAACACTCAGCTGAATTTTCTGTTCATTACATGCAGCACTAAACCTTTGTCTCCGCTCTCTGATTAGTCCTTGCTGCTGCTCAGAAGACGAGTCAGTAGTATCAGGAGTTTTGCTTCACAGCGTAAGAAACGTTCGAAAAAAGATTAATACAGTAGAAACCAGACGCACAATTATATTTAGCCAAACGTGACCAGTTCAGTCCTCCAGGTTAAATATTACTGCTTTGAACCCACTCTCTTTTTACTTTACTTTAACATATCATTTACTTAAAAATCGA